AGCTGCAATGAACAGTTTCCATGAAAAAAAGCGAGAAGTACATGACACGCAGAAAGGAAGCAAGTGCATATTTGTTCTTTGTTGTTTTTTCCCCCTCTAAAAAAATTGTTACAAAGTCTTATGCTTAAACAGACATAGAAAAATCAGTGTATTCATTGTCTCCAGTTATTTACAGCAAAAATTGCGGAGACAGCATACATTGTATTAGACCTTCCACAAGCATATATTAAAAGTAATTACATCTGAAAAAATATTTTTATTTTTCCTCTACATCTCTACAATACATACTCAGTTTTCTGTGGGCGTAGCTTTCATTTTTGTGTGTGTGTATTAATCGGATGGAGCAGATGGTACTGTGTGTGGATGTGGGATTTTGGAGCTTCTCAGACATACCTCACGTGTGCCTGCATATGGTTGGGACAGAGGCCTGGGAATGCTCGCCAGCAGCCGCAGCCAGGAGAGGGGTGGAAGAGGAGGTTCATGCAGCCCAGCTGGGGTTCAGACGCCCCTTATTTCCCTGAACTGGGGGTAATGAAATTCCCGTAACCTTTGTGCTTTTCACCATGAGAAAAATCACTGAGCAGCTTTCTCTGATCCACAGGAATCATGCAGGAGGCAAAGATTACAATGACTAATTCGCGCCAGAGGAATTTCAGCAGCTTAGGAAAAGTGCACAGACAACCTCCTTCTGCTGCACCGGAACCCATGGTCTGCACTTCCAGGAGGACCACAGGACCAGGACCACGGAAGGAGTGCTCCACAAGCAAACGACTAAGGGAAAGCCAAAACTCGCTGCAGGAAGTGAAACCACACTTTCAAAGGAACACATTGAAACTCAAAGGCATCAAAGTCATGTGCTTGGCTTTTAGAAGACAATAGCAAGAAATCTAGCCCCCTGGCTCTATGACACATAGACAGGACAAACACAACTGTCTTGTGTAAGCCTTCATTTGATTGAGTTGTTTTCACTGGCTATTTTTTCTTTTTAGAATTGATATCGTCCTGTAATCCTGGAACAGTATTAATTGAATATGGAAATTAATTTGAGTATCAGAAGGGCAGGATCTATGCCTTATTCCTTCCCTCACAGGCTAATATCATTCTACTATCATCTGGGGTTCAGGCCAGCTTTGGTCCAGTTGAACAGGCTCCTCTGTGCAATTTCACTTTCAACCAAAGATTGCAAGCTAGTGATCTCCATGCCCTCCTCTGCTACAGCTGCATTTTCTGGTGCATTTAAGCTCTGACTCGACCACCATCATTCACTAATTGGAAGGTTTCACAAAATGCAGAAACTCTAGCATTAGCTTCAACAGTATTGGGGATGACCCATTTTAGATGGGGCATCCTCTGGCTGGTTGGCCATTAGGCTGTTTCACTTTCTTACATCCACTGCCTGGCTCTCTCTTAGGCCTTTGAATATTTAACCCCTACTTTACATGGACCCATATCTCTGGTCCTAAGAAAAATGTGCTGGCTGTTTTCCATTCTAGCTTTCCATTCTACACCAGTATGTATTGGTAGTTGGACACAGAATAGCCAATGGTTTTCCTAAAGCTGATGGTGGTCTTGTCTTTCTTTATGAATGGGATTTTGTCCACAGTTTCACCAGTGATGCACCCCGTAAGTTATTGCTGTTGTATTAAACTGTGATTCTCTCAGAGTACAAACACCCTTGCTGGGATTTATTGCCAACCACGGCAACTTCATTGAACACAGATGTGTATGGTGAGAAAAAGGAGTCAAGGAGAAAATATTTTTCTAATTTCCAATAATGGTAGAATTTTTCCTTGTTTCTGTAATAAGCAGAAACAAAGGATATGGAGCAGCACTGACACTATTTACCCCCCAACTGATGTTTTAGAAAAAGAAAGTCCAGTCATCCTTGAGGCAGGAGAAGTGTCTCCGCATTCAAGCCTGGCACACACAGCATTGCTAAGAGGGAGTTGATTATCCATCATAAACCTTTCTACAAACTGTTGAGCTTTACTGCTGAAGTTATGGGCTGAACAAGGCAACTCTGATAGGAAATGTACCAATTTCTCCCTGGCAGCTTGTGTTAATGTTCAGGGTTCATTATGATGTAGACTGTCTCAGATTTTGCCAAAGAAATCGAATTATCCAAGAGACCATTACGTTCTCTGTGTCTGTGAATGCAGATATGCTGTCAACCACAGCCCTGAAGCGCCTGTGAAAGCAAGTCCAATCCAGGAACGGCACAAGTGTCCGAAGACATTTCCACCCACAGCCGTGAGTAGTTAGGGGGGAAATTGCCTCCTGGTCATGGGGATCTGTGCAGGGTTCAAGCCAGATTTAGACTCCCTCGCTCTCCTACTTTTCTTCCAGCAACTGGTTTTCCTATCACAGACCACAGCTCTTTGTTGGAGTGTGAATTCATAGAACCTCATCTCCTTTTGTCAAATTTGTCTGATGCTTTTCGGATTCCTATATTTCCCTTGCTCAGGACTCGTGCAAGAAGCAGCTTGGATTTATTGGGGGATAGATATACCCATTAATGGGGTATCTGGATTATTTGGCTCTTAGCAAATTACAGAAAACAAGAGTAGTTTTTCCTTACTCATGTGCAATTTCTAGGCAAGTCCAAATAATAGAAGTAAATTCAGTTCATGACTATGCAGTTATGGCTCATTGGTCTGAAAGCCTTGTCAGAGGTTTCCAATTGTCATATTCAATCCATGCCATGGGCATTTTGTTGTCATTTTTCCTGTTTCCTCCCCCTCTCCTTGTTGATGTACCTTTTTTTTTTTTTAAATGGAAACATCCCTGAGTGGTTACAGTGCAACATCTGCAGTAGTGATTGTCATTTCCGAAGCATGACGCCACAAGAACAGATCAGAGATTGTTTTTTCCAGTGCACATTTTAGTGTGAGTGTGTTGTGAACACATGAGCTCTTATGGGGAAGGGACAAAGTTCTGGGTTGCAAGTCATAAAGAAAATTGCTCATACCAGAATTACAAAATATCTTGCCATGTAGTCACAGGAGATGCTAAAAAGCTTTGTTACTATTGAAAGCGTGACTTGATTTCTCTTTGAAGGGGAAATTTGGCAACTGTGGCCCAAACTGGAAATCTTGTCTCTCAATGCAAGTGGGCTGACCATGTACTGGTTTCCATGGTTTTGTTCTGGTTCAGTTGGGAGCTCTGTTTCCTGTCCTCTAGCTTCAAAAGGTTCAGGCCATCCCAATGAAATGTTTGCAGCAGTGGAAATGACACAAATTCAAAACCAGTATCTCCCGAGGCAAATGTGGGGAACAATCTTTTTCCTACATCACTCATGGGATGAGGGAGGAAAAAAATTCTCAGCCACTTCATCAATTGAGCCAGTTTAAATTCTCCAAGGTAAAGTGGAGGCAACAAATGATTCCCTTTACAACTGAGCAGGAATTACAGGCTGACAATGGGTAACACTAGGCCAACAGAACAATGAAAACAAAGTTTGACATAAGTTCAAAGCTCAAAGGGAAGTACCAAGTAGACACATTATGCGCTGCCTATCACAAGCCAATCATAAAACATACATTGCATTTGGAAACGGCTTGGTTTAATTGAGTGCCTTCTATTACCCTGTTTTCCTAGCAATCAGTAAAGTAATCTTTCCATTAGAAGGAAATATGACTCCTGGAATTAATTCTTTATACAAAGAGCTAGCAGGAGTGACATTCACACCAAGGAGAACTGAGTCCCTGTAGCAGCATAATAAGCAGTCTACAGCTGTCTTCCCAGAACCAAAGGTAATTTGGTTCAATGTAGTTAAATTAATTGAATATAACAGTAGTTGAGAAAGAGATTCATTATTTGCAAACCTTTTTTGTTTTTTCCCATTGGTTTGGAATTCATCAATCATGAAGTGAGAAAAGGCTCCGCTTTTCTAAATGGAAAAGCTGAACACTGATGTTTCAAACATCCGTCAGGAGTTCTGAGGTATCTTGGAGATGGCTCTCACCCATGAACCTCAGGAGAGTGTAAGAGGTTGCAAAAGCAGAGTGAAAGCTCCCACTGACAATAATGTACAAATTCTGTGTGTGTAAGACAGGGAGAGAAGGAGGGGATGTCTTCCTAAGTAGGGGCTGACTGAATCTTCAGGAGGATTACAGTTTTTGTCATCTTACACACAGATTTCTCCCCTAATTTCCTGTTGAACTATCTCAGTTTGGATCAAATAATCGCAAAGGCACACGTTTCAGCACATGGGCAGAACCAGTGCCTTATGGTTTTGACTGGAATAGAGAGAAACTGAAGTAGAGAGAAATCATGTGGAGAAGGGAGGAATTGAATAAGGAAGCCTGAATTCTCTGATTCTGATGTCATGCTTGCATTGTGCACTTTCAAGAGCTGCTAAAACATCCTCAGCTAGATGGATGTTGCAATTTCAAACTGCAGAGGAAAGAGTTACGCTGTTGCAGTATATCAACTTGCTAGAACAGCACAGGTGTTTTTTTTTCCCTAGTCTATCAAGTTTTTGTTCTATTTTTCGAACACAGCATTTATGAGTTGAAAATCATTGGAGGTCCCAGACGAGGAGTTAGAAATCCCTGCTTCTCTCTCTCTGGTCAGTTTTCTCAACAAATGTGTTAATGGGAATTAATATTAAAAAACTACCTCTTTCCTTACATGTTTTCTCTTCCCCTTTTCTTGGCCAATAAAAAAGTGGCGAGATGGATGACGTTTATGTGAAATGGCGCTGGAACCCTGGGTTCTAATTTTTCTTTAATTTTTTCTAGAAAAAAAAAAAGGTGGGTGCTCATAATCCACAGGCTATATCTTTTAGTAAGAACTAAAATCAAGTTTTTTTTTTCAACAACCTGAAATCCAAAGAAGAACATGCTCTATGTGTTTTGTGGGGAAAAAAATAGTCTTGGACTTCAAGAAAGTCCTGGACCTCATAATACGATCTATGGTTGAATTGTTCAAACAGGAAAATGGCTCCAAATACTTCCCTTTCCCCCAACCCCAAGAGGGGGTTGACAAGGCTTTGATGCTCTCCCAGAGGTTGTGTTCTTTATAGATGGATTTCTGAATCGGTACCTCCTGCCTTTGATTAGCAGTAAAAATATGCTTGGCTAGGAAAACAAAATCCTGATTGTCTAACATAAAGGTAACATTCAACACATAAGGTAAATTATGGAAGAGAGCCTGACTGAACCTCCACTGCTAGAAGGGATGATATTTTAAGCCACAGTGCATGTGTAAGTAATAGTCATATATAATATTTTCACATATTATATACTTATTACATACATGCACAGTACTTTCCAACACAGTTACACATCTATACATGCATCAACTACCTAAAGACATAGAAGTAGGTACGCCTAGGAAGTGGAATTTTCTTAAATTATATTTCAATAATCAACAGGAAAAGTAATCATGTAAAGTACCGCTCTGTTCTCATATATATCTACAATAAAATTCTATAAACAGTTGTCTCCCAAAACATACCCGAATAAAATTAAGAAAAAAAAAGGTAACACCCAGTGTCCTCTATTTTGTATATTTATGGTCATTTCAAAAACAAACAAACAAATAAAAGAGCCCCCACTCAGGTGCATATTTACATTCTTCAAACTGTAGCGGTGAAAAATAATTCTATTAAGTGCAGGACATTCCTAATGTTGCAGTAGTGACATTTTCCGTAAGTCTCCGAGAACACATTGCTTGGGTCTTAACGGTGGTGTGTTCCATGACTGTGAGACAGTTTCTCATCTCCTTCATTTGCAGACGGTGGCACAGTCAGGATTAAAGAGCTCCTTGTACAACGGAGGAAACAGTGTATTCACTATGTCTGGATGAGATTGCTTAAATACCTGAAGCTTCTCCCCGTGCAAATTGCACACTGCGGTGATGGTTGGTATCTTGGCTATTAACTGCAGAATCCAGAGGCAGGGAGAGAGACAAAGAGGAAGACCTGTTAGTGTTTTTCTTTCTCTTCCAAATCAGCATCTTTTCTGGTCCCTGAGAATGGTAAACTGCCTATGGAAAAAAAAAAGGTGTTCGGACCTAACGAAGGCTAGTGTCTTTTTTTTTAGAACACAATTAAACAAAAGGCATGTCCCGTTCTATCTCAAAAGGCAAATGGAGAAGACCAAGTTCCCCGATGGCACTGTTCTTATATAAAATCTGCATAAGGGGTGTCAGGTTGGACAGCTAGCTAGAAGGGGTTGCGCCGCTACCTGGTTTAGAATAGCTGAGGGATGGAAGGGCTAAGATGTGTTTCCTGATAAAATGGCCTTAGCGATTGCACCTGCTAGTTGAAAGTAACAGCTGTGTGGGCTGAGAGAGGAAAGAACACTGTAGGCATAAAACATAACTTCATGAAAACTACATACTAGCCATCCCTAAACTCATCCAAAGGTGAGCTGCCCCAAACTGAAACTCTTGGATGCTGACACAAGGTCACAATGGAAAACTTTACACCTGACCTTATGTGATGGGTAAAAATGAAGGCACATCAATGTTTTGAATGAAATTGCTTTTACATGTGAATCTCATCTTCAACATATACTCACATACACAGCTTCCAAATTCTGAAAAAAAAAAAAACCAAGAAAACCACGTCTGGTTCCAAGCATTTTAGATAATGATATTCAATTTGTATTCTTGTTTATTACCTCCCATAGATTTTTACGACACGAATGTTAGAGCTTTGACTTGGGGTGATGAAGATGTTAGCATGAAGGCTAAGGAAAATGTTTGTTATGAGAAAAAGGTATGTATAGACTTCATTTTCTTTTTTTGTACCACACTTCCACTTCCACTCCATTTTTCTCATGGGCATTTTGAAATACCCTTATCTAAGCCAATGGCAGCATTGTGAATAATTTTATGCATTGCTTGGCTGTCAATTTCACTCAACCCACCTGTGTCTTTCCTGTTGTGATGTCTAAAAAGGAACTTTTACTTAACTCAGAGATAATGTGGGAGGCTCCAGGCACAAAGCTTCCTTCGTGTGGTATTTTAAGAACGAGTGGAGGATATCCTCTTTTGATGTACATGTGTTGTATAAATGGCAATTTTTGAGTTAATCCCTGGATTTAACTTTATAACGACTTTAAATGCCTACAGTTGGGTAAATGCTAGCTAGGTCTTAAGACACAAATGGTTCCAGCTGTTGACATTCTCAGAACTCAGGAACCCTTTGAATCCATCATTTGGGTTCCACATCGACCTAAGCAAATAGCTTAATGTAATCATTTTACATTGAGGACTAAGATACATCCTATTGAGAATACTCTTGTGAAAGACAGACGTTAGGGCCCAGTGCGATAGCATAGTAGCTAAAGTCCTTACTTTGCAAGTGCTGGGATTCCATATGGGCACTCGTTCTAATCCCGGCAGCCCCGCTTCCCATCCAGCTCCCTGCCTGTGGCCTGTGAAAGCAGTTGAGGATGGCCCAAGGACTTGGGACCCTGCACCTGCGTGGGAGACCTGAAGAGGCTTTGGTCTCCTGGCTTCGGATTGGCTAAGCTCTGGCCATTGTGACTGCTTGGTGTGTGAATCAACAGACGGAAGATCTTCTGTCTCTATTCCTCTCTGTACATCTAACTTTCCGATAAAAAATAAATCTTAAAAAAAAAAGAAAGACATTCTAGTTCATATAGCATTGGTCTTTACATTTAAAAGTGATGACAAGATCCGATTCAGTAAATCTGTTTCATCACTGGTTAGTTCATTGTGCACACTAGCTGGGTCAATAATAACACATTTTGGTCTTTGAAGTAATGGAGGAAGCAAATAGTTAGTTACTTTGTGGTTTTTCAAAATCAGTAATTTCCAATCTTTCATTAACTTTTCTTTTAACACTAATGACTATTTAGTCATAGGATGGGCACTTAAGTAACATCAGCATAAGGAACGACACATTCACTATGGGGAGCTAGAACACACATAGAACCTTGGGAGTTCAGACTTTTTATCTGCCTCCACTGCCTTTTAGAGGCAGGAATAGAAATGAAAACAAATGTGGAATCACCATTTGTGGGATGAATGTTGAATATTAGACTGAGACCCAATGCTTTCTCTCTGGCATCAGAACTTATTTTTTTTTTTTCCATTCATGATACTCTACAATGATGCATTACATGCTTCCTGTGTATCGACATTTGGCCAGACCCTGGAGTTCATGACAGCTCTGGTCTTAGTGTGGAGTCTACTTCAGAAGACGGATGGGCATAACGTTGCTGGACACCCAAAAGCAGGTGGAGACACTGGTGAGTAGGGGCGGAGAGCGAGGCAGGCAATGGGACACTCTGATTCCCCGCGGCAGGTCCGTAGAGGTGTCCCTGATTCATCAACACTTAAGCTGGACTCCGAAGGAAGAGCAAGTGCCCACAAGGTGCCAGGACAGAGCTACTTACAGGGTCATTTGCAAAGCCACTAAGAACTAAGGATGAGACAGTGGGAAAGTGTGGAGTGGTGCTGGAGAGATGTGCCCAGTCAGAGCCTATCACCCCTGGTAGTGAATGGCCTGCTATCTGAAAGGATTTTAAGCAAAAGAGAAAGATGATCAGAATTTTCAAGCAAAAGAGAGAGTGTGTCAGAGCCTCATTCTGAAAGATTCCCTCTGGTTCCAGCGTGTATGCTTGTCTTCTCAATATTTCATAGGCAAATAATGCACACACATGCCTTAACTGCAGATGCTTGGGAAATTAGGCACGCTCTCTTGGTTAGCTGGCTCCCATAGGAGACCACAGTAATTTAGGAACAGATCTTGAATGTACCAGTTGTTCCTCCCTTCTATACGCTTTCCTCCAAAGAGTTATGGAGTGCTGAGAGGTTCTGGAAGCATTTGGCAGTGGGACAGATCGAGCTTTGCACTGTAGACTGTCAGCCAGTCGTGCCTGTGAACACGCAGATCGCTGAGACCTACTGCGTGGGGTGGTGCTTTATGAGTCTGGGTGGAGTTCCACTCTTTTGAAAGACATCCCCAGCAGATACCAAAGCTGGGAGTCGGGATGGCCCATGGAATTGTCTTTGGGAAACACAATTTTACATCAATTTACCACTGGTTTCCAAAACTGAAAAGTGCATTCTATTTTGAAATCTATTTTGAAAATACAATTTGCATTGTATTTGAAATCGTCCTACAAGCTGAATTTAAAGGAAACCGAGAAGGAAGATAAATGCAGAGGGAAGGTTCTGTTAGCTTAAGAAAATCAAATTGCTATTTATTGAGAGACAAGTAATGATGTTATGGAGTTTTCTACGACATGCGAATAATATGTGCTGGGGAGTCCACCTGCCTGGGTTTGAATCCAGCCCCACCATTTACAGCTGTGTGATCTTAGGCAAGTGACTGACGTTCTCAGCTTCCTTATCCATTAGGTAGGGATGATGTGAGCCCTGCCTCACAGGGAAGGTGTGAGGATTAAATGGGTCATTACAACGTGTTTCCCGTGGAGCCTAGTCCGTAGTGATGATGTATGTGACGGTTCTCACACTTTCATTCTCTGTGACATTTCTGTCAAGGACAGAGCCAAGTCATCCACGCATTTCAGTCAAATGTTACACAGGATGGCAGACAAGCTCAGCCCTTAACCAGGCACCAAAACTAGACTCTGTGCACTGTCTAGGAAAGCATGGGTTTCTCAGACATTTGCTTTTCTTGAAATGATTAACTTTTCATTTCCTTGTAGCAATTAAAATCAGCTACTCAAATTATTAACTGTGATATATAAAGCAGAATGTACTATGACTCCTATAACATTTTCATTGTTTATTCCTTTTAAAGAAGCTTTCATATTAAAAAAAAACAATTTTTTAGGGGATGGACACTGGTTCATGTATTATGTACTCCACTTCCCACCCAGCTCCCTGCTTGTGGCCTGGAAAAGCAGCAGAAAATGTCCCAAAGCCTTGGGACCCTGCATCTATGTAGGAGACTGGGGAAAAGCTCCTGACTTCTGGCTTTGAATGAGTTCAGCTCTGGCTATTGCGGTCATTGGGAAGTGAAACAGAAGACAGAAGCTCTGTCTCTCCTCTCTGTAAATCTGTTTAAAAATAAAATTTTATTTGAATAGCAAGAGAGGGAGAAACAGAGAAGTATCCTCCATCTGCTGGTTCATTCCCAAGGTGACCACAAGGACTGCAGCTTGGCCAATCCAAAACCAGGAGCTTCCCATGGATCTCCATGCGGGTGCAGGGGTCCAAGGACTTGAACCAGTCTCCCAGGGCATAATAGAGCTGGATTGGAAGTGGGATTACCAGCACAATAAGCACCAGCCCCTAGCATTTCTTCTTTAGTCAAGAGGTGGTATAGAAAATTAAATTTATAAACAGATGGCCAAATTCTTTCTACAGTTGCTCATTTGTATTGGAAATAGCTAATTATGCCAAGTGAATTTGGATTCTTTCTCCTTTCTTGCCAAAAAACTGACATTTAAGAAAAATTTGGTTTGGTTCGTGATTCAGGTTCTGTTCTCTTTGATGAGACATAGATCCAGTCCTTTCTGCACACACTGGGATCTCATATGGGTGCCGCTTCTAATCCAGTGGCCCTGCTTCCCATCCAGCTCCCTGCTTGTGGCCTGGGAAAGCAGTGGAGGACAGGCTCTGGGCTCCAGGCTTTGGATTGGAGCAGTTACGGCCATTGTGGCTGCTTGGGGAGTTAATCATTAGATGGAAGATCTTCTTTCTGTCTCTCCTCTCTGTATGTCTGAGTTAGCATTAAAAATAAATAAATCTTTTTTTAAAAAAAAGATAGTGCATGAAGTCCTACAGAGTGAGGCAACACAAGTGACTCTTCCTCTCATCCAGACTTGAAAAACTATACACGTGGGGCTGGTGTAGCAGTGTAGTGGCTGTGACATCAGCATACCATACAGGTGCTGGCTTGAGTCCTGTCTGCTCCATTTCCAGTCTTTAGAGAGTAAGAAAGAAGACTTAGCACAGTAGCTATTTGAATTAGTTCCAGCAGTGCTAAAGTGGGTCAGAAGCCAGGAATTGCAAGTTAGTCGCTTTCTCATTTTCCCAAGGCTTCATTGGAATGTGACATGGGTGTGTTGGGGAAAACATACATTTTAAACCTGAATATTTGGGTTTGGGTCTATCTGTGTACCTCCCTGTCACAGCCTAGAAGGCTTTTTTTGTTTGAAGAGTCCAGCTTTTTCTTAGTGGTGCAAGGAACCAAGAGAGAAGCCTACTGTTTAGTGTTGACTCTGGGGCTGTGAAGTAAAAGAGGGAAATCGGTCTGCTAAGATCCTCACGGTAATGCCCGTGAGTCAGAGAGCTTGAGAAAGTGCACCTCCAGAAACAGACTTGTCACCGCATGGTCCAGGGGTTCTCAGCCATGGCTAACCAGAGATTCCTCTGCACATTTGCATCAGCATGACATTACCCACGAATGCCTTGTGGATCAAAGGATGTAGCTGAGACATTTTCATTGGCAGCAAGAGGTTAGGAAAATCAAGGAAGAAAAGACAGAGCCCACCAGGGGACTACTCATAATTTTCTTGCCATCCCAAAATAGCAGGAAAGACAATGAGCATTCTGACTTTCAGCAAAAATAATTAGATATTCTGTTGCATCCAGAATAACTAGAAGATGTCTTCTCCATAGAGCCGTGAGTCTAAGGCCATCTAGAAGAGCGCTGTGGCTCCTGATTCCTGGAAAGCTAGGGGCTGCAGCATGTAGCAAGCAACTGGACATGACCCGAGGGACTGGGAGGCATATTATCCACTGAAGTGGTACTGTTGCGGCACAGTCAGAGGTAGCGTACTACCTGAGCTTGAACCTTCACAGCGGGGTGGACCGTGGGGTCTGAGAAGTACCAGCAGTGCTGCATGTTTTCCTCTTGCAATAGGATCTATTGTAGAGATTGCTATTTTTACACTTCTCAGTATAGCTTTGGGCAAGGACACACCCCCAGGAGTGTTGCATCTATTTGTAGCAGTACTGGGAAAAAAATAAACATGTCACCTAATAATATTTCATGACACTAATTGCCCAGGAGGTTTCAAAGGAGGGCTTGGACTGGAGAAAACATGCATCAGATGTGCTGCCAGCTTTGGACTTGAGCCAGAGGATACGGCTACAGAAGGGCTGTGATAATGCACTTGAGGACATAACAGGAGCAAGCTTTGCCCTTGGCTGTGACTTTGCTATCACAACCTGGCCCTGCCTGGATCGACCCCTCCTTCTCCACCACGCCCTCTGGTCAGGATAAAAAGAAGCACAGATTTAGTGATTTGCAATTTGCCACAGGGGAAATGTTAACTGTCTTTACAATTCGAATATTCATGGCCAATCTTACTCCTTCCCCCTCCCTCAGCAGGGGTCCTGCGGCTCTACTGAGAGGAAAAGGAGCCCTGTAGGTCTCTAACATTCACACAAGCCATTACCTGCAGGTTAAATCCCTGGTGCAGCCACCGCAGCCACAGCGGAAGGTGCTGGTGCCCCACGGGAATGCTGAGCTCTGCACACATTTGCGCCTTTGGGGCTGGAAGACCATGCTGAACTCAATGGCCACAGCGCACAGAGTACTAATTTAAATCCACCAGAGTTGGCGAAATCATCCCTTTCCTGACTGATTGCAATGCTAAGACATCTCAAGAGCTCTTAATCACAGGGGACTGAGCAGTGGAGGGCAAAAGAAGAGGTCGGCGGGACCCTCTGCTTTTCCCTGGGGAAATCAGAATGTTAAAGGGAAGGGGCCTTGAAGACCACGCGGCCCAACCTACTCCTTTCTCAGACTAGCAAAGTGGAGCCCAGGGACCAGATGGGCTGCCTCCTCTAGTCATATGGGGCTTAAAATATATATGTATCTTTATTTTTCTTTTCATGAGCTTTAGTGAAAGTGACCAGTGTTATCTCATTTCCTGGCTCCTCAAACGCAGGATCCAGCCAAATCTAACTCTTATTTATAGACTGAAAATACCTTATCCTTCTCTGCCTCTGCAGCAGCCGCCGCCCCATCACTAACAGTACCATTCTGTGTGTCTCCAAGCACCAACCTCCACTGTTTGAGATTGTTTTTAATTCATCAGTGATTAGCCCAAATCTGCAGTCTCTTGAATAAAACAATTTCTGGTTGAAATAAAATTTCCTTTCACAATAATATTTACGTATTACCTATCTTAGACTGGCAATTTTAACTTATATTTTATCTCATTAGAACGACACCCTCTTTAGTCACAGAGTACAAAATGGGAAACAGATACAGACAAGTTAGGTCACAAGTTCAGAATCACTTAGCTAACAGGTGGCAATGATGGTTTATTACAAATAATATTATCATTATGCTGATGAGGAGAGAAAGCGAAGTTCTCCCATAAGATATATTTCTTTTCTAATAAAAGGAAGTTCCAGTTACCAACAATTAATAAATGTTTAGGTATGGAAACTTGATGGTGAGTGAGCATAGATATCTTGAATTTTCAACATTTCCTGACGTTGAAGGTCGGCAAGCAGTTTAAGGCCGTGTTGTTGAGCTTCAGTTTCTGGAAGGGGGCACACAGAAGGTACATGGGAGGTTGTGCTTGGAGGGCGAAGTTCAAGGAATGAATGAACCCTATCCCTCTGACGCAATTTCTGTTGAGATTTTCTTTCAGAGTCAAACTGTTACCTTTTGCAGCTGACAATGAAGGTAGATCGACTCCCCACCTCCTGGAGTCTCTTGTGAAAGACAGCATTTGGGATATGAGAATACTTTTCTAAGAATAGATTCTACTGTGTTCACCACATTCCTCAAGGGGACTAAGAATATCAAATATGAAGAAAGGCAGTAACCATTTCAGAGAGAGAGAGAGAGAGCAGAGGCATGGGGTTCTCTGACCATGAAGGCACACATATTTGAGAAGGATCTGTGTGGAGGGAGAGCATATTCTCTTGGATTTAAATACAGCTGCTCCTTTAGGGCCTGAAAACTAGGAAGAAACTTGTTCTCAGAGAGTTCAAGCAGTCCAGAACTCAAGAGATCCCTCCCGCCCCCCGACTTGCCAGCACTTGATAAAAACATCTGAGACTCAAAGACATGGAGTGATGTATATGAAACCACACAGTTCAGAGGGGAGAAATGGGAAACCCGTTTCCTCTGGTTTATTCTGCAGTTATGTTACCTCTTTACAAAAATAAATAAAATTCTACATTTTTTTCCCAGTAAAGATGGAGAAAGGAAAGTTTAGCTGATTTATGGTGAATCTTGTAATTATTGTCTAGCCATCCAATATCTTATATTCTTGAGGTTTTTTTAAACTTCTAACATTTAAAATCATCCACAAGGATACATAACATTGTCATCTTCATCTGATAAATGATTAGAGCAGGTTTTGGGGCAAGCACATGTCCCTAAGCAGAACAGCACAGATTTTGCTTAATTCTAACATTTTTCAAGGCTTAATACAGAAACTAGGGTCTTTGGGAAAACCCAAACGTGGGCTCCTTCCTGCACATCTATGGGATATGTTTATACATGTCTACTGTCAAGTGGCTATAGAGCTGCATGGATGTGTTCATTGATCATCTTTTCTGCCAGTGAACCTGGAAGCAGGTTAAAATTTTTGCTCTTGACTGGGACCAAAGTGAGGAACAGAGAGCAGGAGAATTTTCCTTGACCACCTAACAGGTGAAAAGTTACATCCAAGAGAATGGTTGTTCCACAGTGTGAAAACGTGCTTCTTAGTGATGCCTTAATTTTAAGAAAATGTTACCATAATGAGGTAGCATATTTAACTCATACAGGTTTTTTATAGCAGTTCTCTGCATGTGCAAAGTAAAATCTGATGATGTCTCCAAATTGAGTCTTTACCCTCCTTCTTTTTTAAATAAAGAACTTCAAGGGCAGAATGGGAGAGTTTTAATGACAAAAATATAAAGAGTAGGATTCCTATTAACTTTACCCAAGAATAAACTCAACTTTCTAGTTTCTTATCCACTTAAAAGAATCCCATTTCTTAAGAAATCAGAGAGACTTTTAAATCTGGAAATAATTTTATCCTTCTAAAAAACTCTAGTTTTTAAAAACAGAAGATATTTGAAGACTTAAAATAAGGCTGAGTGCCAATCACTGAGAACGGCTTCTTCCTTTTATAATTACTTTAGTTTTGTAAACAACTTTTCTCAGTACTCTTCTTAAAAAATTATGCTTCTTAATTAAGTTGAATCAAGAAATTGAGGACATGTTGCATGCCTTTTGCCTCTGGGCCACTTCACCGTTTTTGGAAAAACCGCAGGGTAAGTTTTGCATGACAAGATTAGAGTTGAAGGGAAATTTGCAAGCCAGCCGACTAATTTTCCCCTGCCATTTACAACACTAGTGAGAGATATCAGGAAGCACCTACTAGAATGTGACCAATGAGAAGAGTTTGTGATTTCATACAGCAGTTTGTGCCTCTCTTCAACAATTTCATCACTTGATAATTCTCCCGATTTATTTCAGAATGGACCTGACTTCTGATAGAACTCAAGGTATTCTCTTTTTTAACATATGAACTTTGAAGCTTTGTTCTGTTGCTTCTGGCCTGTGTTCTTCTGATGGAGCACCCCGGTTCCTTTAGTGTGTCTTTCTGTCCCTTGCTATCAGGTCAATATCGTCTTGCTCTAAGAAAGCCATCCTCCTCTCAACCTCTCTTGATTGGTCAGTCTCTTTAGAACAATGGACATCGCAGCAACCAGGCACATGGGGCCACTTTCAGAAACTGTTGCTGCTGAGGAATGGTCTTTGTTACAGCCCGCTGTCCTCCTTTTTAGTAACAGGGCACCATGACCTGCTGACCTACCTTTGCCAACGTTTCATCATCCAAGTGATTCTTTTGAATCACATGCTGAAGTGCAAAATAAATTTTTTCCTGAAGCTTCTGGACCTTCCGTGGTTCTATCAGCCAGGCTCGGTCTGACAAACAAGGAAAATGAATAGATAAGAATCGGGAGGGAACATTCGCTGTTTTATTTACCTATCTATAGAAGCACCGAGTTTCAGGCCTATAATAACAGTTTGAAACTATGTCATTGTTTATAGAAGGCAGAAATATGTCAATATTTTAGAACAGAACTATCAACCCAGGAATGCAAAACAAAAATATAGGCATAGAGAATTGTTTTGGAGGAAGGGACACAAAGGTTGGAGCCGACTCTTCCGTGCTTCTGTCGGTGGCAGTTTCCATTTGTCCCTCTTTTGGAGGACATATGCTCAGATTTGTTTTCTAAGTGCACATTACTGACTTGTGAAGAGAGTGAGTAGAGAAGCACATTTGGTGTTCAGGCCCTCTTTTTCTCAGTTTACTCTTTCATGAGACATGCAGGTGAAGTTAGGTTGTAATTTATGGAGTGTAAACATGCGTCAATGTCAAAAATTTACTCCTGAGTCCTATTTTTCTGTATTGAATTTTTAAACTGTGGGTTGAAAAAGCTCTGCTTTCCTCCCTCGCTCCCACTCTTGTTTCTTTCCCTCCCCCATTCCTGTGCCTTTCTTCCTTTTCCCCTGAAAGACTTATAAACTATGATGACATCATTCAGCCTGACTTCAATGCTTCAGGTCGGGCCCTCAAATGCTCGTGGAAGAGAACTTGGACATGATCCTCTTAAACACAGTTCAGGTCAGGTGAGAAACCCGATTCGGTAATCCTAGATAGGGCAAGGGCAGGCACAGCCAACAGTTAAGCAAACTCTTATGTAAGTGAGCACAAAAGCCTTCAGTGATGACTGCCAATCAGAACAAATGAAGTCTCCTTCCTACCCCTTTCCTAAAATCTTTGGAGTTGAATAGACAGCGGATATTAAGTCAAGAACTTGGGGAAGGGGTGGGCCTGGCACAAGATGCAACCAACTTGAGCTGGAAATCTTTCCTTTTGAATGTAGCACTTAGGGTGGAAAACAAGGTATCCGGGGACTTAAAGCCTCTGAATTTGGGTCTACAACCAGGACTGCATGTTGCCCTTTTAGGTACACTCAGACAAGTCCCAGGATTCCAAACTTCAGAATTCAATAGTGATAGCATGTCCTTTTCAGTAAAAGCCTTAATAGCTCAGTTCTCAGGTTATTCCTATTTTACAAGAACAGGCTAGCAGCTTCCTTTGGGGGCCATCATGTCATGTCCCAGTTCGCTATGCTGTATCTTAAATATTTGCTGCTGGGCATTTGCTGAAGTGCCACAGACATATCCAAGCAAGACAGTGATTCTTCATAATGCCTCCTGTGGATAAGCCGGAGCCAGAGAGAAACCGCCTCTCTATTCCGCAGACCCACAGCCTTAGATCCAGTCTTCTGAGCTATACACACTGGGAATGATCAGTGCAAAGAGGAATGGGCTGGAGGGAAGTCAACCATCTCATGGTTGCTGTCAGAACACATTCTGATATTGTCACTTCTTCCAGCTATCATTGTGTTCCTTGAGCTTAATAAGAAAAAAAAAAGGCACAGAGAAGCAGCTTGATTTTAGATAGAGTCACACAAAATTGTTAGTAAGAACATTGCAAGTTCAACAGTGTGTTCAATAAACGGTGTTGGGAAAACTGGATACCCACATGTAGATGAATGAAGCCTACACATTATCTCACAAAAATCAACTCAGAGTGACGAAAGACCTAAACGTGAGACGTGGAGCCACCAGAGCAGGTCCTAGAGGAAACATTTTAGGACTGTGAAACTGGCAGGGACTTTTCTGAATAAGGCCCCAAAGCAAAGGGGTCGAAAGTAAAAGGAAACAAATAAAATTTTATCAACCTAAAAAGCTCTGCACAGAGAAAAAATCAACAGAATGAAGAAGCAATTAATAGAATGGGCCAGTCACATCTGCAACCAGAGCAGGCGACAAGGTGTACCATCTAGAATATATAAGAACTCAAACAACTCAATAACAAAAATCCCGAAATCATCAGCTTGAGATTTGAAAATGGCCAGATCTAAATAACACGGCTTTGGAAGAAGACTTTCGAATAACCAGCAGCATCATAAGTCATCAGGGAAGTAGAAATGCAAATGACAGGAGATGTCACTTCACTTCATTCGGACCTGCTACTATCAAAAGCAAGAAAAAAAATCAGCAAGTTTTGGGGAGGATATGGAAAAAATGGGAGCATTTGTGCACCGTGCAATGTGAATTAGTGTAGCCATGTAAGGCCCAGAAATCACTCCTGGGAACAGAAAGGAGATGGAGTCAGTATGTCACTTCCATATTTACTGCAGTCCCATTTATAATAGCCATGCTACACAATCAATCTATGGATCCCATGACTGATGAATGGAAAAAAGAAAATGTGGTCTAAACACACCATTGAATGTTACGGAGCCACAAGAAAAAGAATGAAATCCTGTCATTTGTGACAACCTGAATGGAAACGGAAGTCCCTGTTTCAAGTGAAATAACCCAAACACGGAAAGACAAACATGACATGATGTCACTTGTAAACAGAAGCAAAAACATTATTTATAGAAGTTGACAGAAGATTAACGGTCACCAGAGTCTAGGAAGATGTACAAGAAAAGGCAGATCAATGGTTACTCATGTCTAGTTTGGAAAAAACAGCAAAGTACTGGTGCTCCATTGTACACAGGGTGAGGAGAGCTGACAGTAATTTTGGCTAGAAGAGAATATTTGAATGTATTTATCATAAACTAAGTAATAATGCTTGAGAGAAAAATGTTCATCCTGATTTGAATATTACATGATGTATGCATATACTGAAACATGATGTCCCATAAATATACTTTCATGTGTGAACTAGAAAATAAAAATTTAACTTACGAAGGAAAAAAAAATCACTACATGTAATAGAAAAAGAAACAAAATTTAAAATTCCATGAATTTACAAAGGTCATGTTAGGGCTAAAACATCTAATGGATAGAAAGTACAGATGTTGGCATCATTGGTGCACATAGACATAAGAAAGTGGAAGTTGTAATCTTACATCATAGATGAGGCTGCAAATTATGCTACAGTATAAGAAACGAGGGAAAGACTGCAGATAAGTGGATTTTGGAGAATTGAGTCTCAGTCTTTAAAATTGGGCAGGAATATGTTTTTACTCCAACAGAAAGCTGACAGAGATGGCTGGGTTATCCATGAGCCCAAATCTAACTGCATAGAAAGCTGAGTGACTCCAGATTTTAGTTGAAGAGGTAGTCACATATTGATCACATTATTATTATTTCAATATGATTATAATTTATGTCGCATCAAGCTGACATGTACTTTTCAAAAATGTATTTTCATTTATACGGTTTTCGTTGAACCATAACCACAACTCATTTCTTTGACACTTTGTTGTTACTTTATTGAATTTTAGAGTTAGAAGGTTCTTTACTTTCTGAAGCTCAAGCCTTTTAATTTACAGACAAGGAGAGTGAGGCCAGAATGGAGCGTGAAGTATTTAAGCTCACTCACAGCCACAGTTGGTACTGGACACTCGGCAACTGTGTCTGAAGTTCTTCTCCCACTGCGCAGTGGAAACCATCTCCCTTTCTGCTTTTTCTCATCTTCTTTTGAAACTTCCAATAGTGCTAAGGACAGGGCAGATGCAATGTGCCTAAGTACACCAAGATTAGTTTGGGCAGAACAGCCAGTGAATGAGGTGGCTGAACAAAGGAAGTTGCTCTTCTTACTTATTTGAAGTCCCATGCTAGATGTTTCCTTTATGTCCTCTTAAAGTTAAAAAAGAACTTCGTTGTAACTCAGCCACTAACTGTCTTCATTTATTTTTTGGAAAAGAATAATTTGCTTATCTGAATATTTACCGTGTGCCTTACTTATGCTTTTGGAACAATACGGCCATTTTAATAAACTTGAGGTTACTTTCCTTTGCATTGTTCAAGAATATAAAACTTTGCTAAAAAGATACAGTTATTTAAAAACTTTTCCCAAACTTGTTGGCTTAGGTAGATGTAATTGATGTTAAAGATAGAAACTGGTTTAAGAGACCTGCGACCGCCTTACCTGGAGATATTAGAACAGCAGATGAGAACAAAGCAATTTCCTCCTCAGTCAGCTGCAAGGAACACAGATTCTTCGCAAAGTCAAATGCTTCATTCACAAGGTCATCAGAACCTATAAAGGCAGAAAGAAAATTCAATGAAAACGTTGAGCTTGGAATGTTCTTACAGCAAAGAAAGTCTTCTCATCAAGAAGCTACTTAAAGATTCGCACAGTAGATATGCTGAAAAGACATTTCTGAGTTCTTAACTAATGGAAAACTTGTTGATATTAATTGTAGAATGAGGGACCGAGGCAATATCTTGACTGAGTCATGCGAATTAAATAAATATGGTATGTGTCCAATGTAACATCTGGCTGGAAGTAAAGAACCGGAAGCTATTCCTGTATATTCAAAATTATTCGCAGTCAGAATAATTTTAAGTCAGCACATTGAGGGTCATTTATAACACGGATCAAATCTTAAATCTTTACGTGTATGAGCTGAGGACTCACAGTCTTAGTAGCAGTCAAATCTAACAATGTAGAGTCCAGGAGTTTCAAACTGAAATGTTAGGAACTTTAATAGAAGGGAAACGATGCGTTGTTCAATCTGGTAAATTGCCTGGAGAATAAAGTTAGGGGTTAGCTAGTTTATTTATTTTCATCTTATAATGAGTGACTCATGGGTCACTTGTTTATTCATTATGAATTTTGGCAAAGTGATGTTGCCTCTCCACCCTGATCCCTGGAAAATGTTTATTTGATGAAGCTGGAAATATACTGAAGCTGCTTGCTAAGGCTTTTTCTCCTTTCTTGAAAATCTAGCCTTGGAGACATCATGGATGATTATCAGTTGTAGAGGAAAACACTGCCAGTCCTGATGGGCTTGGTCTTGGCTGCCATATCAACTAACAGCACTCGGGGTGAAAGGTTGGGGAACTCTGGCGTCAATGGGCAGGATATGGAACAAATGGCACTATCAATTGTTAAAATCTTTCCTGGCCTCAGCCCATCGTTGCTAATGTTCCTCTTCTGCATGCTGTGCACTGATGACTGGATGTCATGACATACAACACTTTCAGTAACAACGAACTCTCAATTCTGTTTTGCAAGAGCAGTCTGGAAGTGACTTGGGCCAGGTCAGCCATTACTCTCTGCTCCCAGAACTTCATGAATCAATGGGAAAAAAGCCACGACTCTGAGCAGCTAGCAAGTAGGTTTTCTCTCCAAAAGTTAAATTTGTTTTATTTTATTTGAAAGGTAGAGAGGTGGCGAGAGACAGACAGAAACAGATCTTTCATCTCCTGGCACATCCCCAAATGTACAGCCAGGACCAGACCAGGCCTATATCCAGAACTACATCCACATCTCCAGTTCGGATGGCAGTGACTGAGCTACTTAAAAGATCCCCTGTTGACTCCCATGGTTGTGTGCAATGGCAGGAAGTTAGTATCTAAGTCAGAGCTTGGACTCAAACCAAGGCACTTATGTTGAGCTGCATATTAACTATTACACCAAGGGCTCACCTTGTTTCTCTTTCAATCCATTATTTGAAAATTCTTAAGAATTCACATGATAAAATTGAAAGGGCACCACATGTTATCAGGGCCCTCAAAAAGTTCATGGAAAAATGGAATTAAAAAATACATTTATTTTGATGCAAAAAATGTTTTGCAATCCACGAACAATTTTATCATAATGTACATTCCGTGAAGTCTTCGAAGATCCTTGCATTTTTGGTGAAGCAATAAATTAGAAGGGTAAGAAAACAGTCAGTGTAACAAAGAATAATCTGCAGTGCATGCCAGCTCTATTAGAGTGAGTCTGTCTTTATTCTTGAATAAGGTCACAGTAGGGTCCATCTTAGGAGTCCAGGTTCTTTCATTTATATTTAGGGCCACAGGGGAGGGTAAGAATAAGAGCAAACCTTGGAGTCTCACCTTTCCCATCTCTTACTAAATAATGACATCCCAATTCATGTCAAAGGATCAGAAGATGTTATGGACCACTTTGGTGTCAGTGGGGAAGGTGATAACTGAGAAATTATGCCACTCTACATGGGAGGCTTACCTAAGGCCTTGAACATCTGCATTCCTCCGTATTTCCCTTCAAACAGAACAGTGTTGTTTAGTGGGTTGAAGGCACGACACATTCTCACCAAAACCACTTCCAAGCAACCTATGAGTTAAAAAAAGTGACAGTATAGGTACACTTTCAATCATAAAGAGGTTCTTACTGTTTTTGGATCAAGTTTTTATTCACCTATCAGAAACCCAAGATATCGTCCCTCCAGATTGCCATTTTATGAATAAAGCTATCTTGATAGTTCAGTGAAGAATTTAAGAGAAAATATACCTTTTGAAGGTAGTGAAACATGAAGGCAGAAACACTTGTTTTTGGAAGATTTTTTTTAATTAAAATGAAACTTAGTTTCAATTCTGAAGTTCAGAATAGATGACAGGTGGTCCAGAGAAAGGGGGTTTGGTGAGCTAGTCTGTTAACTTTTGTAGACCTTTTCCTGTTGGGAAACTGTGGTCTCTGCTTATTGCATGTAGTGTCTGAATCACTCTGTGGGTGTCTTAGCATACAGTGGCTTTAAGCAGGATATCCAACAGGGGGCTTGTGGGGAGCCCCCACAAGGGTAGAGAGAAGCCATCCCTGCTGAGTCCTGCCCAGACTGTAAAGCAAAAGATGTGTTGAAAGCAAAAGATGACTTTTGTTGTATTAACCGGTTTGAGGGGAGGGGAACGGGGTTGTTATGTAACCGAGTCATTAAGTTATTGCTGAGTCAAGATGTTTATCAATTTGTATAATTATGAAAAAGAGCAGCAATATTAGAATCATAATTACATTTAGCTTACGACTCAGCACCATCTTTGCCACATTAACCTATTAGCTTTTATGACCTTGTGCCTCTGAACACAGCATCTCACTTATCTGAATTTTCAACCTCTTCACTTCACAATGGGAATATCAATGTTGATTTCATAAAATTAAACGAGATGCCATAGGTTAATATAAACATATACACGAGGGTACTTCAAAATGTGTGTGGAGAGCTAGGTGTTTAACTTGGTGGCTAAGATGACCGTGTCCTCCTCAAAGTACCTGGGTCTGATTCCCGGCCTCTAGTTTTGATTTTAGCTTCCTGCTGGTTCAGACGCTGGAAGGCAGGGGTGATGGCTCAAGTCACTGGATTTCTATCACTCATGTGTGAGACCTGAACTGAGTTCCTAACTTCTGACTTTGCTCTGGCCATCGCAGAACTCAGGGGAGTGAAACAGCATATGGAAGACTACTCTTTGTTTTTGTGCCGGTCTCTGCTTCCTGAATTAGTAAATATATCTTTGCAATGTTTATGGAAGCATGGTTTATTACTTTTATTTTTTTTAAGTTATCTCTCTTTTAAAAGATTTATTTATTTTCATTGGAAAGTTAGATTTACACAGAGAAGGAGAGAGAAAAAGTGGCCACAATGGCCAGAGCTAAGCCAATCCAAAGCCAGGAGCCAGGAGCATCTTCTGGGTCTCCCATACAGGTAGAGGGGCCCAATGATTGGGCTGTCCTTGACTGCTTTCCCAGGCCACAGGCAAAGAGCTGGAGGGAACGTGGAGTAGCCAGGATATGAACTGGTACCCATTGGGATCCTGGCACATGCTACCACACCAGGTCCAGGAAGCATGATTTAAAAGATGTTAATTTTAGTGTAAAAGCATTTTCCAGTCCATGCATCCAAGAGGTTTTTGGAAAGTTAATGACAAATGAGTATTATGACAAGATCATGCATGAATTTCAAGCTTTTTCTCTTTTACCAACTAAGCATTTTAATCCCGTTTTTCTGACAAGTTAAAATGCTCTCTTATGTTATTACATTTGTAAAAATATGTGATTTTTATAACAATGGCCTAGGATCATGCAGATTTTCAAAGGTGGCCAACGAAGACAAAGTAATTTTTTTTTTCTCATTTGGTTATAGCATATGCAAAGTCAATTATTGGTAGTTAGTTGAGCTACTTCCTAAGTGATATTGTGTGTGTGTGTGAAGAGAGAGAATGAGAGAGAGAGAGAAAAGCTGGCCAGATGAGATCACTGTGGAGACTCTGTGTGTCATGGCCTCAGGCTACCCTCATTAAAATGATGGGAAATGACCACAGGGACAGAGCTCAGCCAGCCTGCACGTCTCTTTCCTTGCAGAAGGCAAGGAGTAGGCTTGAGCACCAGCTCAGCAGTTCAGCCACCTTGACACACTCATTACTTGCACTGCCTGTCAAGCTTGCTAGCTCAGCCTCCACAATTAATAGCTCTACTTTCAATAAGCAAAATTGTATTTGACTTCAAAGGGGGAAGCGAATGAATTATCGGGACATTTTCATGACCGAGTTTCCTTTGGGAGCTGGCTGACACTGTGGGTGGTTAAAATGAGACATGCAACAGAAGAGGGAGTTTTGAGAACTGTATCCTAGAGCTAAGGGTCAAACACGTTCTGGAGGAGAAATGGGTCTGCCATGAATCTTGCTCACCTGACTTCAGAAGCAGAATTTGATCGTTTTGACAGAGCTCCATGAAACCTGTTATCCGCTTTGCAAACTCTACCACGTACTGGATGGCATGAGTGATCTGGATGGCGCATTGCTGCCACAGAGCTTCCCTGGACTTGGGGAGAGAAAACAGAGCGTCAGCGGTGCCAAGTGCTCCTTGGAGTGTCAGTGAACCACTCGGGGTTGCCCTGCTGGCGTGTGCTCATCACAGGGGGCCCAGAGTGGGAATTTACACCATTCTCATACAGGTGGAGGGAATGTTTTCTTTCGCGCCTTGAGAAACTGTTTTGATCTATTGACATATCATATGCCACCACGGTCAAATACTGAGTCCAAAATAATAGAGACATTATTTCTAGTAAGAGCAATTTACTTATTTTTCTCTATTATTTTTCCTCCTTACAAAGTCAAGCTTTTAGTTCAAGCCGATCATATATATATTTGTGTGTGTGTGTGTATGAAAAACTAGCAAGCCATTTCATTCACTGGCTTCATGATGCCATTTCATGGGTACCTAATTGATACTGAACATTTTTGCATCATTATGTTCTTTTTTGAGAACTTAATGGAGACTTTTTTTTTTTGCTATCATATGAAGAATTTCTAGGGAGAGACTTCAGATCGTATAGTTAGTATATTTGTAGTGTGTGCTTATTTTTTGAAATGAAATACACAATGCATGTGTGTTAATACTGCTTTTATCTTATTTATAAGGAAGTACTAAGATTTAGTTCTATTAGTGAAAAATCAGTATGTTGCAATGATTCATTTAGCTACACACCTATTTATATACGTTAATTAAAATTTTATCAATCTTCTAAGTAAGGATTTCATTCTCAAGTAATGCAAATATTGAATAATGTAAGAATTGCCTTCCCTTAAAAGCTTCTCCAGTGGCCACAAGGAAATCCTACTGCAACTACTACAACTGTGAATAATAATAACACTGATGTTGTCTGCTTTGCCTGTGTCCTTATTTTTAAAGCCTGCAGAGCAAGGAAAAGCGTTTAACATGTTCTGTTTCCCACCTCAGTTGTGCAAGGTTGCGACTGTTCTTGTTGTGGATATTCCACCGCTCTTGCCATTTGTTACACCTCAGGGAAAAAAAATCTCATGAAATCCTGAAATAACTTGGTGAAGGCGCAATCTCTCCCCTCCCTTGAATGGGGCAGTGGTTTTCAGTCATTGTTACTGCCCAGGAAATATTGGTTGTAACACCTGGAGGCAGTTTTGGTTGTGAGTTGCTATTACCTATTGGCATCCGGTGGGTTGAACCCAAAGATGCTGCTTTGCATCCTGCAATGCATGGAACAGTCCCTTCAGCATTAAAAAGAAAAAAAAAAAAGTCTGCCCAAAAGGTCAATAGCGCTGAGATTGAGAAAGCTAGAACTAGGGTAATGACAGATACCCTGCCCCACACTTTCCCAGAGTACCTTGCTTTGATACGCTTTAATTTCTTCATAGCTGTGAGTCTGCCATGCCAGCTGGTGCAGCTCTTCCATGGTGTACTGACATGTCTCCAAGTGGGACTTGATGATGTTCTGTGCAATTCGATCTATGAGGAAGAACATCAACTTGAGGGCTTATGAACAAAATCACTCTGCTCAGAGAAAACTTGTTCATGTATTTAGTAAAACATGCCTTTTAGAGACACCCTAATTTTATTCTTCAAAAACAATTATTAATTTGTATTGGAAAGGCATATATACAGAGAAACGGAGTGACAGATACAGACAGAAAGATCTTCCATCCACTGGTTCACTCCCCAAGTGTCCGGAATGGCAGAGATGAGCCTATCTGAAGCCAGGAGCCAGGAACTTATTCCAGGTCTCACATGCAGGTGCAGGATCCCAAGGCTTTGGCCCATCCTCAACTGCTTTCCCAGACCACAAGCAGGGAGCTGGATGGGAAGTGGAGCAGCTGGGACGTGAATTAGCACCTGTATGTAATTCTGCCTCAGGTGGAGGGACGGTTATTACAAACGTACACATGGAAATGTAGCATGGGGTTAGCTAATTTCTTATCATGTCCCTTACGTCTCTCATTTCCTTATCAAGAAAAGAAGGCGTAGAAACAGAGAGGGGCTCTAGACTGATTCCAACACCTCTTGCAAATACCATTCTGAAATGTGGTCCACGTTTTCTATGATGAAGTCTGAATTTTGCAACACAGGCTCACATGGGGGAGAAGTGAGGGATAGAAACTAAGACTGTGGGTGGGACATGAACAGCTGCACAAGGTGACTAAGGAATCTCATCATATAGTTGCTTTGGGATTTTTTCTCTTGGGATAAGAAGGAAATTGGGGGCCAGTGAATGTGCAAACCAGGAGAGTGATGTGGTTCGTTTATGGTTACAAAGGTGAGCCCAGCCATCGTGAAGAAGAACGAGATGGCATTAGGCAACACGTGGAAAGAATCAGGCTGAATCCGGCAGAGTCTGGAGCAGGTGATGATGTCTGAGATGGAGGGAAGGGCTGGATTCGAGACAGTTCTGAAGGAGAAGGCACGGGTGCAATAAGAAGGAGAAAAGAATGAACACAATAGGCAATGGGCCAATACTCAGGTACTAAAGATAAAATTAAAAATGCCGCTTTATACATCTTCTGGGCAAAAGCTGACTTGGCCCTCTCAAGGCTCAGGTCAGATATGCACATGATGAAGCTAGAGGGGATCTCACAGGAGCCAGGCCTTAGGTCATTCTGTCAATGAGGGCGATACTTGAACATCAGAGGAGGCAGTTTTCTTGGATTGAGTCTGCAGTTGGGAAAAGGAGAGAAGGGTTTAAAACGGAGGGACAATGGGCGAGACAATGAACATGGCCTGCAAAGATCCTGTGGGGAGCCAAAGGGACTTTCAAGACTCCTTGACTTGGAAAAATAGAAAAGGAAATAGTAGACGGAGTCCTCTCCAGGGACCAAGCACATGAGAGAGACCAGACAAAAGAGACTGGGGTGAAACAGCAGAGGCTATAGAATCTTTCTGGGCAATCATGCGTCCTTCCTCTGCTACCCTGACTTGGATTGCAGGTGTTTTTCAGAGCTCAGTTTTTGTTAGACTCACGTGGGCTGTGGATGTTACAAGCTGAAAAAGGAGGCAGCTTACGCTGTGCTGATAGAACGGGTCCATCAGGAATAGGACTCTCAAGTAACCAACTCCTGGGAAACTACCACTGTCCGTGCATTCTGTCCTCTGCTTTCCCCAAACCCAAGGATCAGGATGACCGTTTCTCAAGTGGGTGAAAATGACCCTGCACTGTCAGTGACGTGGATTCTGTATGTACCTTCAGAGACACCATGTGGATTGTTTTGATAGCTCATAGGATGATCTTGAGGAATGAGAAAAATAATCTTATGTGCTTGGTCTAATCATTCATTTTTTCATCGTAATAAAGTAAAATGTTAATATCAATGCAAGGGGAAATTTGTAATTATAGGGTAACATTAACGACATCTTTCTCATTTCCTATATTTGTTCATTTCTTGAGAAAAGTAGCTCATTCTTTTTCTCTCTTCCTTTGACTTCTATATCCCCATGCATATAAGCATAAAAATATTTTTCTTTAACTAAAGTTTGTTTTGCTTTAGATTCTGGCCCTGACATTTCTTTTGGAGAAGTGTTGATTGGAACTCAAGATTTATATCCAATTAATAAAAATTATAAATTCAAATATGACAGGAGTTTTATGGAACAGAAATTGCAGTGGAATGAAAAAATAACCTCCGAAAGACTTACAAGATAACCTCTGTAGGCAAATGTACTTCCTTACCATTTTGTTGGTGATAAAATTGTAAAGTAGTATTGTTAAGATTGTCACATTTCCCTAGAAGTCTTAGGGGTAATCTTAATAAGATTAGAAAAGACGATAAGAAGAGAGAAATTAAATTTTGGAAATGAATGGAATTGATGGTTAACTCTCAGCAGTGTGTGCAGTTATTATAGAACCCTGGAGCTGGAACTAACCTCCTTCCATTTCCAGATGGGCGGTAGCTAAATAAGTTTGTTGGGTCTTTCTGAGATTGGAAAGAATTTTCACTTTTCCTACTCTTTCCTCAGTAGCCTTCTTTGTAACTTATTATGTAAATCAAGCAAGTAAGAAAGCAGTCCCCTTTTCAGTCAGTTGCAGCGTGATAGAGATATGTGAGAATACTTCAAAGAGCTATGAAAATAGAATTAATTTTTGTTAGGGTGCATTTTTTTTAAATCCATGCATAGTCTTTTGGTAATACACATTTGCATGAACTTCTTGAAGACCCCTGTGATAAAGATGACAAAAGTCGAGATTTGAAGATGGACCACGAATATTGTGATATTGTGATCTAGCGAAAACTAGATCAACATGAGAGATAACCGTTCTTACACATTGACTCACACAGTGAAGCAGAATTTGGAAACAAGCCACCCGCATTACCGGATTCTATGCAGAGAAAGACTAACCTGCTTATTTCAGAGATGCTCTGACGAGCAAGGTGACGACTTCTTGTTTGTAGCTGTAATGTTATAAAATGTGGACCAGCTTGCAGCTGCTAAAATAGTAACTGACCTTCCGCAGCTCTCATTTCAACCACTCAGCAGGTTTTTTTTTCCACCAAAGTGGCTTATTTTAGCTCTTACTAGACATTTCAGCAGAGAGCGCTCTCCAAAGGCCACGGTGTCTCAGACACAGACTGCATGGCGGTTCCATTTGAATTCTACATCCCGGGAGTGGGAATCTTTAAAAACTGCTGCTTTCAGCGTTGTTAGCAGGAGCACCCATGGCCCAACAGTACCGCGGCGAGAAAGCCGAGATTCAAAGTCATAGATGATGCTGGAGGGTCTTCAATGAGAAGTTCCTGATTCCCTCCCCACCAATACCATCCTCTCCCACTTAGATACCTCAGGAGAAAGAATGTGGCCTTGGTGCCCCATGCCCTCTATTCATTTATCCCCACAAGGTTTTTTTTTTTTTCTTTTAATGGAAATTTTTTTTTTTTTTAAATACTATGTCTCGGTCTCAATCTAAGTGATTAATGAATTTTAAATTTGTCTCTTGCCTCAAGGATTTGGAGAACTGCTGAATTCTCCATTTAGCTTGCACTACTAGTATGCAAGTGGAACTCTAAGGGGATTCCTTTTGAGTTAATGCCAGGATACCTCAACGGGTTGGCTGAAGGCATGTTTTAAGTGCCTACATTAGGTTTTTAGAATATCAACATTTCTCAGAATCTTTGCTCAAAGGCAGTGATTATAATATATTCAGACAATTGTTTGAAAAGCAAAATAATTGACCCAACATGCAGTTTATCTTTTTGGCCAGTAATCACTCAGTTTTTATAGGTTTTCTGTCATTAAACAGAACATGCCCAAGGGTCGTTAAAGAGATGCCAATGTAATTTAAAGAGTTTTCCCTTGTTTCTGATCTCTAGTTAGATACTGCTACCTTCAGCATAAGCAGAATTTTGTTATCAAAATGAAAACAATAATAATAACTATGCTTTAGAAAGGCAATCTATGAAGGGTCTTCAAAAATTAATTGGAAGCACATTATGAAAAACCCATGCATAGGCGATAGACATTTTTTGCACCCCCAAAATTTATGTTCTAATGTTTCCTTTCCACAAGCTTTTTGAATTTGCCTTGTATTAGTGAGTGTCTAACCTTTAAACAAGAGCAGCAGATTCAGCATCAATATTCTCTAAATTGTTTTAGTTAGAAATTGGGGGCATCAGTAGCCTATATTTTATTTATTGGCTCAGTTCACGAACCAATCACTCATTACTCTCTAATGAATCAGGATAACACCCAGTCTCCTTCACATAAAAAAAAATTGGCAATTCTTAATATCAGAGGATATTTGAATTTTGCTTCATGGAGACATAAAGCAAAATGTTAGCGCTTCTCAAAAAATTGACAAAATATGATCATATCAATATCTTTAGAAAGTATTAAATAAAGCACAGTTCTATAAAATATAACAGAATAGCAAAGAAAAATCAAATTAATGCTAGTCATAATATCTGGGCAAAGACTGAACATGCCCGTAGGATAGTTAATATTTTCTGTGATCCAATAGAAGATGAAAAAATCAAGCAATAAGAGAAATAACTGAAAAAACATGCGTATAGCATTTGTATTTATGCAGAGTCTAACCAAAAGGAAAAAAAAGTATCACAAGCAGCAAGAAAAAATTAACTAAGAGGATACCATCTTAGTTATTTAATAATGGAAAGCTGTTTTGGAGCCCCAGCGTTCTGTTTTATTACACTAGTGCATGTCAAATTTTGGGGAAATTACAGTTTCCTTTCTTGAAACCAGTTGACAAAATTGAGAAAGAGTTTCTATGAAAACATAACATTTCAAAGTTAGCTTTCTTACTAAAAGCCAACCTCTACAGAACAATCAGAAAGATGAAGTTAGATGTGTTGAAGTCAATGAGTTCTCAGGGAGCTGTATGGCAAACAGAAAATCCAACATGGTCCCTTTCAGACTGTGAGTTTGTGCCCTTGGAGAAATCACTTAACCTTTTTGAGTCCCACTGTTCTGGGGTTTGATTCTTCATGTGCAGAAGTTTTGGCAGC